TTCTTTTTAATTGCATTAGCCCTTCAGTTTTCCTGATGAAAATCCTTCTCTTGTGTGCTTCGTTGGACCTTAGGGCCTAATTAAAATATTACTTGACAATAAAATTAAGGCTTGTAACTTGTTACAAATAGGTCCCCAAGCCCTTTAAAATAAGTGTGTCTATACTACATACATTCTAACTGTTGCAGTGAGCCACAATCCTTAATGAATCTCAAATATGGCTCAGCAAAAATGGTATCATGGGTAACAGAAACAAATCCTGCCTTTGGCTCTGTAGGACTAGTAAGAATAAAAATAGCAAACCTGATTTTGTCAGGAAATTGCTTAGATAGGTGTTGGAATTCACAGACAATAGAGCAAGTTTATGATTATTAACATGTATAGCCTATGGCTAAACAGTGATACGACTTAAAGAAATACCACCTCAGGAAAAAATTAGCTCTTTGAATACTTCTTCAGATTAAGAACAAGTAGATAGTAAGTCTGTACAAAAACTGCTTTCCCTTTTCAATTTTTTACTCCTGTACAGTTCAAGGACAAGAGTTGTGGTATGAATATAACCTTCCCAATCCAGAATCCTCTAGACCAGGAGCTGACATCATGCAGCTCAAGGGCCCCAGTAATCCAAATGTGGCCCCCCAAGCACCCCTACTCTCCGAAGCATTTTTTAAAAATGAATTTTAAAAAACACATTTCTCTCTAAAATCCCCCTGTGCACCATGTTTTGAGGTCATTAGCACCTCAGGGGGTTCTTATACATCAACCATAAAGCAGTTTATAAAATCAAGCCATTCAAGGGTTCAAGAGGTCTTTTTCAGTTTAAAAATAATTATTGTAAGGGAAAAAAACCCTCCAAGGTCCAGAGAAGGATATGTGCAGTCCATGTAGCTTTGGAGATCCACCACATTATCCCAATTAAACACATATGGAGTGCACCACCTTGAGGAAGTCCAGGCTACTACTCACCTCGGATATATAGATCTTTGAAATGTTTTATAGACTCAAGAGTATATGGACATTTAGAGGGCTGCTCACATAAAAAGCAGCCCACTAAAGAAAAAAAGCTACTTTCCGTAGCTTTTTTTTCTTTAGTGGAAGGTCATTTTGTTGTATGCAGTGTGGCCTACTTTTTCTCAATTGGCATTAAAGAGCACTAAACCCTCTTGTGAACACTGATAATCAGTTCAGATGATCAGAAGGCAACCAGTTTGTGCTTGAAAATATGAGGAAGAACAGGTTGCTTACCTGTAGCTGTGGTTCTCCAAATGGTCATCTATGTATTTACATATAGGGATTAATCCTGTGCATGCAGAGACTTATTGGAACTAAAATTCAAGTGTTTTGGTGCGATCCTTGCCATTCCTCCTGGTAGGACAAATACATGATGAATCTGTTTCACCCTCAGCTCTGGAATGTGACTGCAGAAAGAAAGCAGCGGGGGTAAAGTTGACTTCTGGTGATACTCCAACGAGCAGGGTGTATGGTTGCATAGATGACTATTCAGAGAATCACAGCTACTGTACAGGTGAGCAACTTGCTCTTCTTTATCATTGTCTCTGTAAATCATGCTTATGGGAAATTAGCAAGCTTATCTACCAGGAGATGGTTGTCACTGGAGGACAGAGAATAAAATTGTGGTCACAAAAATGTCTTCATGGCACACTCCAAGATCCCTGCAAGAGTACCAGATGAGAGTCATTGGTACTGGGAGCCAGGGCAAGTCATGAAGGATAGTGATAACCAACTCTAGAGGTAGGGTTCACTGAGTGAGGAAGGAGAGGAAATTCTGCCACCTGATATGGTCCAATCACCGCAAATATAGTTTTGGGCTGCTTTCAGGTCAAGTGCTATTTTTGGAGGGAATTGTATGAAGAAGTTATTACCAGGCTGCGACAGAAAGAAACAGAGATCTGGGTGAAAAGAGCCCTGAGTCTATGTCATGACATCTGGGATCTGGGGAAGATGGTGACAACAGGCATTGGAGAGGTTGATGAGATGAAGCAACCACGGCTAGCAAGGTCACCATGGGCCATAAGAATGGAATGTGCCTTGGAGCTTGGTAATAACTCTGGTGATATGGGAATAGTAGGGAAGGTGTAGAGAAGTGAGCCCAATAAAAGGAGTTAACAGTTGGGGTAGAAGAACAATGGTCTTGTTGTGGTTGCCAGTAAGAGGATTGAACTGAGAGAGGAGACAGCGTTGAAGTGGTCTCATGTGCAACCTCATGTAGCATAGCATGTTGACTTGCTGTGTATTCTAGGAGATGTTGGATGAGATTGGCAGAAGGGTGTTGGGAGGATAAATTATTGAGTGTGGCCTGAATCAGGATAAGCATCCTGTCTTATGGAAGCAATGTGTGTATCTTAAAGGGCTGCCCATGAATTCAAGATTGCTGGTTGGCAGAAAAAGTTTGTGAGAAGGCCCAAGGAGGTGAGGAGGGTGGTTCTTCAGCAGAGGGAATAGCCTTCCTCCGGAGATTCGCGAGGCCCCCATGCTGGGTACTTTTAAAAGCCAACTAAAAACATGGATGTACATCCAGGCCTTCCCTCCTGTCAACATTTGACTAGTTTCTCTTTTTTGCTATATATCATTTACTATACTTTTGCACTGTATTTGTTATTGATTATACTGTAATGTCCTTGTGTTATATTAATGTATATATGTTACACTGTAAGCCGCCCAGAGTGGTAGAATATACCAGATAGGCGGGATATAAATTGAATAAATAAATAAATAAAATAAAGGTTGGCTTCAGATGGGGTGACAATAGGCCAATTGTTAAGGTAAGGGGAGACATGTCAGAGTGTGGAGATGAGCAGCCACTGATGCCATGTATTTACTTAATATCCTGGGATTGGTGGTGAGGCTGAACAGGAGGATACAAAATTGGTGGATGGAGGAGTTGAGAGTAAAGTGAAGGAAGTATTGGTGGTTGGGGTAGATGGAGATGTGAAAGTACATGCCCTAGAGAGACACTGTAACAAATCAGTACCTGAGTTGGTGCTGAGTCAGTATTGATAATGGAGTTCTAGTCTATTTGCATACAGTGGTGCCTCAACTTACGACCATAATCCGTTCCTGAAGAGGGACGCAACTCAAAATGGTAGTAAGTTGAAGCACCATTTCCCATAGGAATGCGCTGAAATACAATTAATCTGTTCCGGCCGAAGGAAAACATCACCCACACACACACACAAAATCACTGCAAGACTCATTGGAAACACAATTACTGTAATCCCTTTCAGCCGAAGGGGGAAAAGAAAAGAAAAGAAAAGCAATCAAGTGTGCTAGACCCACTGGAAATGCACAGAAAACAAACACGGCAGATCGGAAATGCACAGAGAACAAAAGGGGCATGTCGGAAATGAAAAGAAAACAAAGGAAAAAGCAAGGGAAGCATGCAGGACCCATCGGAAATGGGGGGAGCCAAAAACCACAAACTCCCCAAGACCCATTGAAAATGGGGAACACCCCCCAAAAAGCAACCAAACACCCCAAGACCCATCGGAAATGGGGGGGAAGCAAAAACACACACCAAATAAATCCCCCAAGATGCATCAGAAATGGGGAACCCCCCAAAAGCAACCAAATCCCCAAAGACCCATCGGAAATGGGGGGAAAAACAAAAAACCAACCAACCCCCAAGACCCATTGGAAATGGGGAAAAAACCCAAAAAGCAACCAAACACCCCAAGACCCATCGGAAATGGGGGGAAGCCAAACAAACAAATCCCCCAAGACCCATCGGAAATGGGGAACCCCCCCAAAAAAACAAACCAGCCCCCCAAGACCCATCAGAAATGGGGGGAAGCCAAAAAACAAACAAACCCCAAGACCCATCACAGCACAGAAACATAACCTCCCCAGCCCAAAACTACACTGCAAAACCACCCAGAACAGTTTTTAAAAAGCAGAAAACAGCATCTTACCTTACAAGGCAGCCGGAAGCCTCCCTGCAAACACACACACACACTCAGAAGCAGAAGGAGGCAGTCCCAAGCGTCCTCCAATGCACACTTTCTAACTGCTGTGGTGAAAGAGCTACAAAGAAGCAGCCTCATTGCCACCTACAGTTAGAAATTTGAATTTCCTGCCTTTTCCCCTGTCTTTTTCTGTTTGTAAGTAGAAGCTCCGGTCGCAAGTAGAAGCAAAATTTTGCAGCTGGAACTGGTCGTAACTCGAAATGGTCTAAGTAGGGATGTTCGTAAGTCAAGACACCACTCTTCCTGTTTCACTTAGAAAATGATATGTTTTTATATGCTGTATACTACCTTATTTATTCAAAATTCAGCATAGCCCACTTCTGCTTTGATTTGCCCATTTGTTTTGAAGCTTATTTTCTCTGCATTAATGAAAGCATAAACTCACTTTCAAAGTACAAGCTGGCTTTAAAAATGAAAGCAGATATTCTCAGGATGCAGAATTGAACCTTAATACAAAAGTTTGCATTGTGCAGTGTGACAGTAGAACCATAAGCCTCACAATACCCTTATAAAATCAGTGTACTCATGGTAAGCTTCCCTTGTACTTCCAGTCTGGCACTGAAGTGCTAAAAGTGCACATTTCTGTGCACACTTTCACCCAAGAGTGATAACATGAATCTTACAGGAGCTGTATAAATAAATCTGCTGTCAGCATTCTCAAAACACACTGTAATAGCTTACATCCATGAATGTCCTTAACATACACTTAACATAGTCTTCCTTATGCACTTTTTGCCTTCTAATGGTGAACTGTGCTTTTGAAAATACACTTTTTGCCTTCTAATGGTGAGCTGTGCTTTTGAAAATACACCAATATGCCTATACTTTAAAAAAATGTTACCTGCTTAGTGATAGAACATGACAATACCAGGCCCCCACAGCCATGGGCACACCTTTCTCAGGAACTGGATGTACAGCAGAAAATACAGTCCAGCATTTTCTTGTATAAATAGCAGGTAATGGATGGTGGGTTTTATGCATTATTTACAAATGAAGAAAGAGATAACATAAGTGCTATTTACATGAACTGATGTGGTTTTACTGCACTGACCAACTGCTTTATTCAAATATGCTGGTACAGAATACAAGTGCAAATTTCCAACTCAACCAACACTGACATTTATCACATATGTTCCATCCTCTTTGAACCCTCTTCCACTCCCTGCTGTTGTTCCTGGTCAGTATGCAGTCATTAAAAACATTCAGTTGATACAAGTGGTGAGTCAGTACAAAACACAGAATGAGATGTAAATATGTTTCACAGAATACAGTAGAATTATGGGAGCGGAAACATTTTCTTTGGAGGCAAGACACCTTGTCAATCAATGGCAAGGGAAATCAAATACCATCACTGCTTTCTCCTGGAGTATATTGTGACTAGTCATTAATATCTAAGCAAATACTTATCATGATTTAAACTGCAGTTTGCAAACAACTTGTCATAGTGCACCTTACAGCCATAACATATTCCATAAGAGTATGACGAATGCATGTTGGCATAAAAAGAGAAGCTGTATGACCGTATATGAAGACAACAACTATAACTTGCACAGCACTGTCATTGCTTATTTTTAAAATATTCAAGCATATTTTTTTTTAAAAAAAGAGGAAAGCTGAACTTACTCTACGCTACAAAAAATCCATACAACTCAACCCAATGTTGACTTTTCATTTCCTCCAGAGTATTAATCAACTGTAAACTTAACTTTCCTCCTCAAGTCTTAGTTAATCACTTGCTGCTTAAAACTCTGGTGGTCTGACTGATTTTTATTGTTTCTGAAGCAATCTGAATGATTTATTTTTAGATTTTTAGGTTTAGAGGGGAACCATCAATATTTTATTCCTTTCCCCCATACTCAATGAACAGCACCACATATACTATCTCTTGTGTGTTGTCTTCACATAAGAATCAAATAATGGTATTAGTCATTCATTTCCTTGTACACATACACTCTATTGCGTGTTGACAGGTTTATACGGATGCAGTGGCAGCCATGGGTGCTGGGAAGGTCCTAGACGACAGCCTTTGAATCCTTGCAGTCCTGAGCAATAGTGCCTGAGTTAGTCTGTCTATTGTCTGCATTTTCTCCCAGATGGTTGACTTGTCTGAAAGATTAATATATTAACAAGAGCAGTAAGGTCCAGGGTTGCACATCTCTGAGACATTTTTATTAGCAGATGGCACATGAGATTCAAAGGTCACTATGAGGGGGGACATTTTAAAGTGAAACAACAATATTTATGTTCAGATACTATACTGATGAGATCATATGGTAAATGGTTCTGATTAGTTTACAAATAGCCACTATATATCAGCTGAAAATTCCTACTTAACTTCTTGCATTTCAAGTACAGTGCACCAGGTTAAGTAAGACTTTGCTCCTGTCTGGTTTAGCCAAAGCAAAATTCAGCTAAAGGAAGAGGAATGGACAGCTATCTAACTGTGTCTTGTCTATGAGCCACCTGGTGACTTCTCTTTACCTTATTTTCCCCATTTATTTATCTAATTAATCAACAAGCTAATTGATATGCTAATCTGGCATGATATTGTTCCTGATCATTTGCAATCACACAATGGGGAAAAAGACACAAAAGAAAAGCTGCACACCCAAATGTCAAATAGGTGGGGCATTTTGATGTAATATGGTACAAGGTCACTCATCTGTATTATTTCCCATTTAGACACAGGTTTCACAAGGTAGGGCAGATACCTTGTTTCAACTTTATAAATCACATGCTCATTGAAACTTTGCCTCACTGCACACTTCTACGTTGGTTGCTTCTTAGTCAATTGTATCTGCCCACTGTGCAGTTTACAGGTGTTTGTTCTTTTTTAGAAAATTTTGTTGACAAAGGAAATAAGATGCACATGTACAGAACACCTTTATCTTCTTGGATTCCCTATTTAAATGCATGGAAGCAGCAGCAGCCTTCCAAATGAGCATTGTTTCCTTCATTAAAATAAAAAGTTAGTATGTTTATATAGCAGTTGTTCAAACATACCACATGTGTTTGTATACATCAAAACAATCACATGCTCTAGTTTACCGGAATTTGGGAGGTGGCCAGGAAGCCTATGAAGTACTTTAAATTTCACCACTTATGAAATATGCCAGTTCAACATTATTAAGGCTGAAACTTTATACTATCTACCTTCTTCTATGCAAGACATCTATTAAGACTGATGACAAGAAAATTGTTTTTCTTTTTAACAGCCCTCTTTGTGCTAGAATCACAGAACTCTGATATTAAAAAAGTTAAAGAGCTGAATGCTGCACATCTTTTAAATTTATATTAATACCTCTTTTTTCCCCCTCATCAAGGTGCCCAAGACATAAATGACCACTAGTTACAAAAGTAAGTGATTCTTACTTTTCAAATGAACCATTTTCAACTTTCACTGTTCCTTCCACTGGATCCAATCCTTGTTCTGAAAACTGTTTCAAGGCACTTAAAGCTGCCTGTAATACAGGAGAATGATATTGAAAATTATAAATATTGAAATAGGCATGATATCAATATAAATGGAATATTGTACCAATTGTGTTCAGGAACAGAGTGCATGACACATAAATTGGTGCTGCAAAAGTATCTTGAAATATAGATGGGTTAGTGAGCAAAGCAAGAAAGTGTACTCATTTTCAATACTTTAAAATGGCATTCAGCAACACTAATGAAGGCTACTAATTCTTTTGTCATTCTGCAAATGGAAAATATTTCAATCAATTACTCTTAAACAATACAATAACTCAATCCCCCTGGAGTACATGCCTTCTTGATTTACAACTTACGTTCATGCCAAAACTAGATATCATGACAGATACAAAAATCACAAAATTGGTGATCCAGCCGCCTAGAGTGAACGAGTCGTCCAGATAGGCAGGGTATAAATCAAATAAATAAATAAATAAATAAATAAATAAATAAATAAATAAATAAATAAATAAAATAAAAACAACAACAACAACAACAACAACAATCATCATCATCATCATCATCATCTCAAAAATTGTCTAGCTTAAACTTTTGTGAATGCAGGAAATCCACTACTACAATGCCCCAGCAGTTAACATCTAGCTTGTACTTAAAGACATGGGGCTGCAACCAAATCTCTCACCAGTAAGACCCAGATAGCACTGTAATATGTGTTCTCCAACACTCTGACAACCAATAACATATAGCATAGGTAGGGAATTTACAGTGGAGTAACATTATGGCATGCTTTTAAGTCACTGGCCATGATATGAAAGAGGGGAGGAGACAAGCAGCTGATCCTTATTTTGTGATACATAATTTCGCCAGTCTTGCCAACACCTTTAAGGCTGTCATTATTTTAAGCACTTGCTGCCCCCCTTTAACATCAAAATAACATTCTCTGTTCATTTTATAAACACAACTCTTCTTTCACATTTCCACAGTCCTACCAAACCCCCTTGATTGAATCTTATTAATTATATGTGCTGATATTAAGGCAAGATGAGCCAGAAGTCTGACTTTTCAATTATGTGCAATGCCAGGTACCGCTAAAGCAGAAGCTTGATTTTCATATTTCTTTAATGCTTCTATTACAACAGAAAAAGCATATAAGCACTGGAATGCACATTTTATTTAGAAACAGCAGAACCCTGTGGGGATACATGCTGTATCTCTAGTGTGGGAAGTAAATAGGTCCTGTACCAGATATTTGCTTGGACAACAGATCACCTTGGATCTACAGCACTGACACTGTAATTTTCTGGAACTATCGTGGGACACAGATGTACGAAATAAAAATCTCTTTCTGATACAATATCCTGAGATAAGAACAGCTTTCTGAAATATTCTCACAGTTGTTTTTACCGTAACTTTCATCTGACAGCAGTGAATACATATTAAAATGGGATTTAAAATTCAACAACTTTCATTGTAGCTTCATTTAAGGGTTTCTGGTTTTGTTTCTGCCACACAGCTATTTTGTAGCCCCTTAATGAAATATTTACTTAGTTTCCCACACAATTTGAAGATTTCATCTCTGGGAACTACTGTTTCTTTCTCTACCCAGAACATCTCTGTTCTTTGAGGAGAATATCATAACAAAAGGAAGCAATCCTGAACAAACGCATTTGTTCCTGCTGAAGGAATTTCAAGGATAGAAAGGCGACACACATTCATTCTCTCCATCTAATAACAGTTAGGGAAAGTTTGTGATCTTAGAGAGCTGCCTAAATGTGCATCTGGGTAAGCAGTTGTTCTATGTCATAATCAGGTGACAAAATGCTCTATTCTACATTGCCTCTTCCAGTGGGGTTTAGCTCCCCTTTTGTGCTGTGGTACATGCAAAAACTTGAACTTCATTCATGAGCCGTAGTCTCCAAACTTTCTGCAATCTTATAAAGAGATGCCTGATGACATCTATCTCATCAAACCTGAGGGGCAGAATCCAACTGTGGGCATTCACTGGTGTAACAGTGAAATCCAGCAAGTGATCTCTACTGTAGGTGTCTATGTGCCCCAAGAACTGGTTCTTGAGGGCTGAGGAAGCTCTCTGGAGCTGATTTTGGGGCAGCTCCAAGGGTATGGGGAAGCAGAAGAGAAAGACCCCCTGCATACGGATGCCTTTTGGATTCAGGCCCTGAAGACCATCCTCATTGTTCAAATTTCTTTTTTGTGACCATCAAAAAATGCAGTTGGTTTTGCACTACATTTACTTTAGCAGAGTCTAAAGCTGACTACTTTTAAGTCCCAAACACTTTCTCATTAGTACATGTACAGAGTCAACAGGTGTCACTTCTAAAAAGAGTATGAAACTTTAGAAAATGAGTGCAACAGAAACAATGGTCTCATTGCTCTTAAACAGTATACAACCGAGATGAGTATGTACAGATGCCACTGCCATGAAATGAATCAGTAATCACCATGTGCATAGGAGATCATTATGTTTTTTGAAGGAGGGAATTCTCCCCTCTCCATTTTTTGCTGGATTACTTGATTACAGCCTACTTCATTTCTCAGGTTCATTTGATCCTCAACACAGTAGTTCCATGGGAAAGAAGAGATGAGTAGGGTTACCACCACCAATACCATTGTGAATGCCCAAATCAGAAATTAATCCATACCATTTTATTGAAGTACCAACTGCATTTTAAATATATTTATATTTGCAATGTATGCATTTTAACTGATCTTCCTGCTTTGTACCTAAAAGAATGGATTATCTATCCTTTTTTTCATGTTACCATTTCTCAAGAAACTCTGTTGATCCACACTGCTTCCCCACTCTTTTCAACAATCCTGATGGAAACAGTAGACTGGAAGAATGTGAATGAGGATTACTGAATGAGGATTACATTTGCACCCATGACATCATGTTATAGTTACATCTGAATGGCTATATGATCTGAGTAGCTGTGGTAAAACACGGCCTGATGAAGCAGCAGCTTTGTTAAATTAATGGAACAGTCCTGAAGTATCAGCAGACTTCAGGAACAATTACTCCAAATCAGCACAAAAACCTGTGAAATATGGAAGGTGGATTCTTTTAAGGGAGAAACATTTTACACCCATTGGATGTGTATTTCTTTCTCTTGAAAGTGATGGAGGGGAAAACACGGCACAGCTCCAATAGTGATATACACCAAAGAAGATGTAAATAAGGAGATCATCTTTTACACAAAAACATGTATGCCGTGATTCCTTAATCGTATGGTACACCGTATTATTGACTAGGTAAAGGTAACGGTTCCCCTTGACATTTAGTCCAGTCATGTCCAACAGTAGGGGGCAGTGCTCATCCCCGTTTCCAAGCCGTAGAGACAGCATTTGTCCGAAGATAGTTTCCATGGTCATATAGCCAGTGTGACTAGACATGGAACCCCATTACCTTCCCACTGTGCTGGTACCTAGTATCTATTCACATTTGCATGCTTTCGAACTGCTAGATTGGCAGGAGCTGGGACAAGCGACAAGAGCTCATTCCGTCGCGTGGATTCGATCTTACGACTGCTGGTCTTCCGACTTTGCAGCACAGAGGTTTCTGTGGTTTAACCCACAGTGCCATCATGTCCCCTGGCTACACACATGCATAATCTTTTGTATCTGCACTGTAGTGGGTGGCTGGCTTTCCTTGGCTTGAGTCATGGCTCTGCAGGTACTCTATTAGTTCTGGTGTTCTTTGATTGACACATATGTGTTCTGAACTGCATTGTCTTGATCTTTGCAGGTTTGATAACATGGATGGAAATAAAAGTTTTGCCGCAGATGTTTTGGAAGAAAAAGCAATTGCAACACACCTTATGAAAACCATGTGCATTTAGCTCTTCCTCTAACAGGAAGACAGGAGGGCCTGGCTTGCTCTGGTCATGGGGTCACGAAGAGTCAGACACGACTAAATGACTAAACAACAACTAACTGCCAGGTACTGGTAGATTGTTGACTATATGGATCAATAAATAAAGACTGGAGCTGAGTATCAGAGCATGAGATACAGCAAAGTTCTGCCCCCTTGGTGGTCCAGCTACCTATTCCCTGCAACAATCACAGATATGCCCCGTAGTCTCAGAAGACTTGGTTAATCCCCCTCCTATTTTTATTATCAAATGATCAGTGATAGGCTTTAGGGAAACATACTTTGAGTAGTAGAAGGGTAGAAACTGCATTGAGAGAGAAGTTAATATTCACTATTGATTGAGAAGATACGTGAATGCAGTGAAATGAATATGCTTCAATGAAATGAACTAACTTTGGGAGTAATCAGCTTCCCTTGATCCTGAGTGTTTCCTGTTTTTGACTGAATTTTGAGGACTAGTTCATGACGTCAGGTAAAGAAGGGACTGGATAAAGTATCACCATTTTTAATTTTGTTTTATTTTTATACATTACCTTGATAATGAGGCAACCTAGAAGTCTTTTAAATGCAATAAAAATAATAGTCCTCATTGATAAGGGAATCTAGAAACAATGAACTAACCCCATGCATAGTCACAATAAAATGGTTAGTATACTTTGAATGAAGTAGGTCTGATAAATATATGCAGTTCTTAAAAGCAAACAAACTCTTACTAAATTAATAGCAGTGAGGGAGATACAGGCAAAATAAATACTTGGACACAGATTTCTGTGGATAAATTCTTTTTCAAAATGCTGAGCACTTCCTCCAGTGGATTGTTTCTTTACAAAAGAGCATCTGCACAGATATATAGAAATATTTCTCTCCCCCAGAAGATTTTACAACTGCTTTGTGAGCAAAGCCCCGTAGGTTATGAAACAGATGTCTTCACACATTTCATGTATCACTTGTTTTCTGTGTAGATACAGTGATGCCAAAAACACAATGCCAACAGGATGCACTACTCCACTCTTTGTTTGCCTTGGCTGCTTTTCTCATTATAAATATGTGTCTACATTTGGCTGAGGGTAGATGTTTCCAATCATACTGGTCATTTTTTTTAAAAAAACATTCCTTAAGCCAATTAGCAATTAGCAA